TACATAGCTTTTCTGGAAGAGATAGACAACACAGCATTCTAATATCTGGCGAGGCAAGGAGAGAGGATGAACAGAGGAAGCAATGGTTCAGGCGTATATGCATATTATGTATGTGTGAAGATACGTATGTGACAAACATGTAAGATTATTATATGTATCATATAGTAATTAATATAGATATAGCTGGTCTTACAGTGTGTTGTGTTATGTGTGTTTGTGGTTACATGTGTGTATGGTGTTGTGTGTGTGTGTGTGTGTGTGTGTGTGTGTATGTGTGTGATGGTGTGTGTGTGTGGTGTGTGTGTGTGGTGCTGTTGTGTCGTGGAAACATGTCGTTGATTGAAAGAATAGAAATTAATTAATATAATTTTGTATCTTTTTATTTTTTTATTATTATTATCATTTGTTATTACATTTGTTTTAGATAATATGCACTTATTATGTTGTTGGAAGTGGGGGGGGGAATGTCCGCTCTTCCAGTTTAAAAATGTCTCCCCTCTATTTCTCTTGATTTCTCTTATCTATGGCTATCTCTCTCTTCTGTAAATCTACACTTTTCTTCATTTTCTTTATTCTATCTTCATTTTCTGATTTTGTTGTTTGTTCGTTTGTTTGTTTTTTCTTTTCTTTTCTTTTCGTTTTTCCTTCCATTTCTTTAATTCCCTTCTTTTTCATTCCCTTTCTATACCTCACCTCTCTCCGTTCTCTTTCTTCTTCTCTTCTCCGCCTCTGCGCTGTTCTCTTCCTTTTCCGCCTCTTTCCCTCACTTTATTCCCCCCTCCCTACTTCCTTCCTCCTCCCTTCTCTCATTCCTTCCTCTCCCTACCCTCTTTTTTATCACTTTATCACCTTGTCCCCCTATTCCCCCCTTCCTCTTCACTCCCCAAGCCTCACCTCCTCCTCCTCTCTTCTCCTTCCATACTCTCCTCCCCCCTTCCTTACTCCCTTCCCCTTTCCTGCTTCACCCCTTCCCCCTCACTGCCCCCCACCCCTCTCCTCCTTCCCTCCAGTACCTTCCTCCCTTCCCTTCCGCCTCTCCCCCACCCCCTCATTCTCCTTCCTTCCCTCCCCATCCTTTCTTCCCTCCCCATCCCTCCCTTTCCTCCATC